TGGAGGAAGGGAAGAGGAGGAGATCATTTTTGTTTCTCAAGTTTTTTTTATTAAGGAATTTATAATTCTAGGAGAATGAGAGAATGACGATGGGTTCTTACTAGTTACAGGTCACCGAGTAGAGCCTCAGTGTAAGATGACTCTCCTAAGCCCCTACTTTAGGAACAGCAAAGCTTTATAGGAAAGTGACTAGGTAGAAGGACAAGTGGCTCAGCCTCAGGCTCAGAATATACCTCTGAACTGGTCTCAGAGAAATCTTGGCTGCCTCTCAAACCTACTTTACTTGTAACTACAGTTCTAGTCTTGAGGATAGAAAAACACAAAGCAGCATGTGTATTAGGAACACATAATAGTACTGTTCTGTTGATAACACAGAAAAATGTTATTGTCAACATAGTAATGATAATAAGAAATGATACTTATTGAATTGGTTTATTGTGTGTCAGACTCATTGCTAATGGCTTTACCAGGATTCTCTCACCTAGTCCTCATATAACAATCTTTTGATGTAGGTAGTTATTATCGCATTTTTACAAATGAAGAAACCGAAGCACAGAATTTAAATAGCACTCACAAGGCCATATAGCTAGTGAGTGGCAGAGCCACAGACTGGACCCAAACAGTCTGCCTTTAGGGCCTGATCTCTTAATACAATGTTATAGTACTGTCTCTATCGCTCTATCCACCTTTTCAGCTTCTTGTACCTTGTTTTTCTTATGGAATCAAATAGATTGATAGCAGTTATTGTCCAATTTAGTGAGAATGAATTTCAGAACTTAGGCTGCTATAGGTCTAGTTCTCAAAACTGCTTGGGGCATAACGCAATTTGCCCATCGAGAACTTCCGTCATCCATTGTAGTCTACTATATCTGGGCATAGGTCCTCTGATAAATACCTGAGTGCATTTCTGCATTTCATCTCCTTTCTTCTCCACGACCAATCTTCTCACCCTCTTCTCCCAGGAGTCTCAGATCCAGCAGATCCTACAGAGTCCCTTCAAGGTGTATCTCCTTCCTATGCTGTGCCCCAAGGAATGATGATGATAGCTTATATTTATTTGGCATTATTGATTTTACTCTATTGATTTCACTCTTTCTGCTGCCTCCTAGGTTTAGTAGAAAGTACATGCATGAGCTTTAGTCAGACCTAGGTTTGAATCCCAGATTCACAGCTGTGTTTCTTTTTGAAAGAGTCATAACCTTAGTGAATATTATTGCCTCATCTCTAAATCAAAGATAGTACGTACCTATTTAATTGTGGTAAGGGCAAATGAAAAAATGTATGCTGATCATAAAATAGGAAAAGTACCATGATTTGTTTAACCCTGTCTCTTTTCCCTTCTCTCAAAGAACTGTGGTATAAGAAAGGCTGATTGTCTATATCCTTGTGTACCTAGAGCTTCTATTTCCTTCAGTCCTTTAGTTTTCAGAAACTGGTGGGTATGCTGATCATGTTAGGTAAAGATTACAGGAAATTGGGGATATTCAGGGGTTTTTTTAATAGAGGATTACAGAGAATTAGGAAGGTATGAGAGAACTACAAGGAGATTTCACCTTTGGCCATGGGTATGAAGAGAAAAGGGGAAGGTACACAAGAGCAGAATTAGGACTAGCTGAAGAATGAATCATCCTACTTTTTGAAACTAGACATTTAATTTTGCTGTGTAAAAGTAATATAAATTATT